CCAGAGAAAACGGTATTACAATAATTATGTGACACCCAAACTTCATTATTAAGCATGAGACATGTCATTTGTCTGTGCAAAGTAATATTATTATTATTATTATTTATTTATCCATATTGATGTCCTTAGGAAAGACACATGCTCTCTCTCTGATTTATACGTTTGAATGAGAATGAGTTAATAATAACATCAGGTTGTAATCCCTCAGACAGCTCCATATGCATTCTGTCAGGATAATTCCTTAACAATTTGCTGTGGCTCTATATAAAACCATTGTTAATATCAATAATTATCAGTCTATTATACTATATTACTATTATAATAATAATAGACACATAGTACATGTATAATACTGATAATTATTAACGTTATTAATAATTATAAATCTTACAGCATACATACCGGTATCCGATTAGTTAAGAAGCGGGCAATAATTTCAACCATCACTCCTATGACGTAGGTTTGAATGATAGTTCATTTTTTTCCCAGGGAAAAAATACTAAGGTCTAGGCTACTATCACCCGAAATGATAGTACTTTTTTGCCCTGTCGCGATGTGTAATCTCTAGGCTGCCACCTATAACGTTGCTATGAAATTTATGACACGCAGCTAAGAAAGATTGGCCCTTTGATCACCTATAGCCCTTGGTCTAGGAAGTAAGCCTATGCCTACTTGGTGTGTACTCCTTTCATTACTTTATTAGGTCTCGTAGAATCTATGTATGAGGTATATAAAACAAATATTGACTGCTCTAGATTCGGGGAATGGTGAAATCTACAGCCCCTTGGTGATGTGGAGACTGTAGCCTATTTTACAAAATTAATATATAGCACAATGTACTGGTTACTGAATAAGCAAGTGACAACATGTAGTACATAACACCTTTCTGAACTGTAAACACTTTATGAAGTTGGGTGCAGCAGGTTAACTGCAAGCATACAACCTCTGTTTTGTTTCTCTTTATGAGGAAAATGGCAACGTTAATTCAGAATAACTATCTTGATTTTAGAATACTTTTGATGAACCCCATTAAATTAAATGATAATCAGATTGAAACGTATCTTTTTAATAATCTTCAGTGCTTTTTACATAAGAAAAGTTTACAAACTGATGTTGTAGAAATAAAACTAATTTCTTTTATTAAGTTTCCATTAAAAGTTTGTATGTTAAGTACAGGAAGCGCACATTATAAATTTTCAATTTTTAACCCCACCTTCAATTTATGTTACAAAAATCCTTATTTACTATACAAGCTAAGATGCTTATCTGAATTTGGCAAGTCTGATCAAACTCTATAAGTGCATCTGGCTTTGGTAGAAATGTTTCTCAACCATAATATACCTATATGGCAATAATGATATTGAGTGGATTATTGAAGAAATACACATATCCATTTTTTAAAAAAACATAACCAAGGGTGGTGCCAGTTGATAGCGGGGGGAAAGCTGACCCTCCTTCCTGTCGGGAAGAAATATTATAAATCTAAAATCGATTATTGTCTCTTGGAACACTTTCAAGAGATTTTTAGCAAAGCCCGGCCACGCCCACTTTCTCTCGTCTCCTGGCAGTTCTCCTGAACATAACAGTGCTTATTCCAGAGTGAAGAGGACTAAGTATGGTCTAAGAACAAAAACCACAAGGTTGTAAATCTTTTGCAAAAAATTTAAGTACAGATCTTTCAGAAACTGTGCAATAACCCCTCACCCACGCAATTTTGGAAGGGTACTAAAAAAAGTGCAATCAATTTCCTGATTTTGTGATTGATTAAAGGTTTCAACTGCGAATGGACCTGAATGTATTTATTAATGGAATGATGAAATAACTGTATGTGTATATCTGCTTCACTTTCATGTTATTAGTTTAATTGTTAATGGTCATAGGCAGATTCAAGGGGTGCCAGTCAGCCAGGCCTCCACCCCACCACCCCCAATTTTTTTTAAATAACAAAAAATGGGAGATAAAGGAAAATTACATTTAATTTATTAGTCGGAGAGTGCCATTTCAGTCACCTAGAAGTGCCACTGACATACATTTTTGTAGCTCAGTCCCAACCATTGTGGGAATGAGGTGGTGTGGGCCTCTTACCTGTAAAATGTACTTTCTGGGCCCCCCTCAATTTCAAACTCTTGGATCTGCCACTGATGGTTTTCTCCTCTATATTATCTAATAATTGTCCCTATCTCTAAAGCGAATATTCTATATCTTAGTACTCTAGTATATTATTATGCTTTCGTATATTAGTATACTTACAGAAGTATACCAATTATAGAATAATATCTCACTACAAGTAAACTACTTGGAAGTGAACAGTTCAGCTTAATAACTTAGGTTCCATTATGTGGTTATAAAGAACTCAGAAAGTGTCATACCACGTAGCCAGATGCAAATTGTTGTCGTGTCGAGTCTGTTTGAACTAAAACGTAGACGCGATAAGATAATTATTTTATTTTTAATATCCATAAATATAATCCAATTAAGACTGGTATGGAAAAGCTAAATCATGATTAATATTTCAACATGAACATAATTTTGAACCTGAATATTTACTTGACTAATCCATCCATTCAAGAATAATTTCACATCCCTTAGGTTATCAATGACTTAATGTCTAAACAAATTTGGGTATAACACCATTACCAAGATATAACCAACTAGTAGACATGTGTACCTTAATGTAGACAGGAACGATGATGAGATGGGAGAGAAAATTAATCCCGGCTCCATGAGCCAGATTATTGGAAGGACGGAAAGATCACGCATGGTAGGAATGAAAGCAGTCCGATTCTAAACCTGTTTATATTGACACTCTGCAGGGTAATTGCTCAAAATATATGTCATCAAATCGAAATGGTCGTCCTTATGATGTGTTCAAAAAATATGACAGCATTTTCCTAAACTTTGGCTAATTTGGTTATCTACTTAAGGAAAAACAGAGTATTTTTAAAGTGTTAACTTTTTAAGCAGATATGCTAGTGAGCATAGAGGAAAAGAATGAATAAGCGTAAAAGGAATTGGGAAAACAGAAGGGAGAGAAAGAAGAAATGGAAGGTAAAAAAGAGAGATAGGAAGTGGTTACATTAGTAGAACATAGAGATAAGACAAAAACAAAATGGAGAGGAATAAGTTATAGACTGGATTGATGTAATGGAAGATTAACAAAGGGACGTGCAAAAGGTAACCTTATAGAACCACACATGTACTCAAAACGACAGACTGACCTGGCCTGGATCAATGCTTGAAAGCGACTAAACACAGTACGAGATAGCTTGATATTTATCCAGAGCTTAGCTGATAGCTACTTGGCACCAGATGACTGAACGCGTAGGAGGGGGGCGCTAACTAAAGCTGTATACAATGACGTACAAACATGACTGACTGTATACAACAGGGAATTCTTAGTCAGTGTCACTGTACTATTCACCATGCAGGAATCAAATGCTTATATAAATAAGCGTCATTACTGTTTGGGAAATGATTTACGGTCAAATTGATAGATCACGGTACACGATTTGTTACAAATCACAGAACAGAGCATCCATAGAAACTGAAGGTCCTCCAAGGTTGCTACAATTTTATTGAATAAAAGTAAATAAGGCTAAATATGAGTTGAAGCTAGAAGGAGGTCTAGCATTTAGTTGTTTACATACTGTAGGTGTTTTAGTTTTGAGTTACAGTAGCTGAACTATCTCTACAGCAGTAATAACTTTGATGTCATTTACAAAAACACTTTGCACTTTTTTTCTTATGCAACACTTCCGAAATAGAAATCTATCAGTAACCCACCATAGATTTTTTTTTTTGGTATTCTCAAAAACTGACCCAGAATCACGCTTGGCGCCAAAAAAGCTCCCATGTTGGAGACGACGAATTGCGTATTCATCACAGCTAATCAGAAGGCGGGAGAATATTGATTGCATTCTCTTACCGCAATATTAGACATCTGACCCCATTTCACAAAATAAATATCATTAGCGGTATACATCACATTGCTAAGCCAGATGACGACACGGTTGAAAAATAAAGCGCCGCTATAACGACTGGTTTCCTGTCGTTATGTTGTTTCAAAGGAAATTAACATGATGTCTATTAAACAGAAAAAGTTTGATTCGGAAAAATACATGTGAAACACAGAAATTTTTCGGGAAAGGTTAGCTATTACGATGGGATTTTAAATTAGAACTAATAAATAAATACATAAATACAAATAATAAACTATAAGAATAATACAAAGTATCAGAGTATTAAAAATAAGGAAACCTAATAAACTAATGGCAGAAAATTAAAATTAACGAGATGGTATTGAGATGGGGGCAGCCTTCATCCATCACCATGACTGAACTACAACCCCATCTGACAAGAGCTGTAATTGTGTAGGTTAAGGGGGTAATTGAAGGTGCATGCTAGCAACTCATTGAGGATATGTCATGTTTAGCTACCTAATTTCCTCTTCTTCCTTCTAATAAACTCATTGTCATTTCAATGCTTATTTTTTGCATTTTATCTAATCCTACACATTTTGTAGACCCTTTACTTCATTGCACTAAATTTTCCTCTTTCAGCTATTACAAGAATAGATGTTGATTCAATTATTAGAATTCAGTATTCTTAAATGATTAAATAAAACCCTTCAAATTCACAAAGAGATATGATTAAAGCAAATCAATTTTTAGCAGGTAAAAAAAGGTTAAAAGCTGTGTTCAAACGCTTCTGTTATCAGGTGTCGCGAAATCTTTTTGGATGCTTGGTCGCCTTTGGATTGGAATGCAGCCAAGAGTTATTGATAAGCATGGGGGTAATTTTGGCAATGAATAAAAGATAAAAACTCCTTCATTCAACGATACTATACATCATCTTTTTTATCTACATATCAAAACACAGATTAATAAATCTTTAATAAACCTGATTTATGTACCAAACGTTTTATGAGAATCTGCGGAACAACACGTTGTTTATAAACGAGTAAATACCGGCATGGCACGAGAATATAGTCTTATATTTACCTGATGGTCAAGAAGGAGAAGCAAAGTGCATTTTACATTCTGGTCCCCAGGCCTCTTAACTTGAAATCCATCGGTTTCAGTTGTGTTCTGAGTACGGTGCCACTAAATCAAATGAAAAAAAAAAAAAAAAAATTAACTTGTTTTCAATATATAATGTTTAGAATTCCATGATGTCAAACACCTGTTGCATATTAAATAAATTACATATTTCAACCTTGAGATAAAAGTTCCACAGATGAACTTCTCGATTCATTGCACGGTATTAACAGATAATTACTCACTTATAAAACCCTTAAAAACAATTAAAATATTAAATTGTTCATATAAAAGAATTAAACATGAAGAGTCAAAGAGTTCAATTAATATACAAAAGTTTATACTTTTAAAAACCCTTAAATTGACTACTAGTCAAGTTAGGGTTCTAGTCAAGGAACTATATTATTTAATTGCATCTTTTAATTAAATTACTGTATGTAAAGAATATTCTCCCATTATGGTTCCCAATTGAAACTAAATATACAGAAGTAAGCAATTTTAGTGTTTTATTAACTCAACAGAAACAGTGTATAAATCAATAAAAAATAAAATTTCCACAAAATAAAATTATAATTTAATGAGAGGCGATGAAGTTACAAAACTGAAATTTAACCTCAGAGTTTTGATAAGCAAGCGGAAATCTTTGGATGAGTGTCATATTTTATCAAATTTGACTTGTGTAAGAAATTGAATATCTTGAATGTTTTTAGTGTCAAATGTTCTAAATGATTTACAAGTTACAAGTGCTAACATTCCTATCCATAAAAAATGATCTTACATTTTGAGAAAGATAGTAGTACAGTATCTCTGCTTCTAAAGGGTGAAAAAAGGGTGAAATAGTTGAATATCTACAGGTCCCTTTTTCTAAAGCATTGCGACCAGACTGTGCAATGCTTTGTGGGGATTGTTGCTACCTAGATTAATGTTAATTGGAAGGTCACTAGTTAAAAATGTGCTAATGTTTAACATGTTTGACTAAACAAAAATTGGTAAAACCTTCAACTATATTTCATGATTGCTGCCAGAAAAGAAATGTCATTAATGACTTAACTACATTTCATTTGCAAAAGATAATTGCAGTCCATGTGTGAGAGGTACACAAAACATAAAGACTTTCCTTGCATATCTGTGTCATAGAGAGTAAATGAAGGTGCCAAGACACAAAATGTTTGTTGAGCAACTCTTTACAGCAGTGGTGGGCATAAAAATCAGTCGGAGGACCAAAGTGAATTTCTGATTTAACACCGACAACCCCACCCAAACTTTAATGTTTCCAGTGCGCTTCAAAAAATCTCCGAGCACTGCTTTTACACCACTTTATTCCCAGTTTTAATATTACTGTTTAGTTTGATTAGTGCCAGGCTGTAAAAAACAAGGTGTTTTCTAGCCAATATTGCTTGACGGGCCGCACACATAGGGTTTTCAAATCATATCCGCGGTTCGCAAGAAAATCGCTGTTGGGCCGCAATTTCCCCCCCTCCCACCTGTCCTTTAAATTCAAGGAAAGGATAACTTTACACCACTAATCATTTCGACAATCTGAAGGACACATTTTTTACTTCACGGCCAACTTGAGATTCTAGGCACCAAGTCTCTGCCTACCGGGCCAGGGACCAACACAAGAAAGAAAGAAATGACCTCAATGTTCTTATGATATATACAATAATTTGACATCGGTACCAGTAGCGACAAAATTTTGTATAAACTGCATATCAAAGATCTTATAAACACAAGACGGCGTTCTCCGTGATTTCAACGCGTAACATAGACGTGTCGATTTGGCATAGATAAGTAATCACTTTTGGGAGAGGGCGTCCTTGTCGTTGCCATGGATCTGAGATAGGGTGTTCATGTTACGCCAAAGTTCGTTACCAAGTACGTTAATTGTTCCTTAATTGTTCTAAAGAGAGGGCACATCAAGTAGTTTCGCAAAAACAAATCTTTTATTTTTTTTTTTCTCCTGGACAACTTCGCTGACTATCAAAAATGTTGTGTGGCCCAAAATTGTTGTTTGTGGAACATCGGTCTAGAACTGTGTATCATTGGAATTTTATTGATTCTCTTTTGATTTTTTTTTTCCATGTTGTATGACGGGAAATCTTTTGGGTTTGGAATGGTGTTTGTGGTATATTTGCATCTGTTATTTTATTGGGTACAGGTCTCTCTCCGATTAAGGACCACTTTTGGGATTTAAGGTCTTTAGCTTTTGGGATTTCTATGGTCTTTAGCAGCTTTGTTCTGTAATTAATTATACGAAGATAAGACATTTGTTAATTTGGGACCACAAGTGGTCCTTAAATGGAGGAGGTCTTAATTACTTAGAGGAATCATTAATTAGAGGGAGACATGATTAAATGTTTAATTTAAAGCTATTAATTTGCTCAAAATAAAATATAAGAAATTCAAATGTAGTATTGGTCTAGATAATTAGCCCAACATAGACATTACTGTATATATTTAAGTGTGTGAAACAAATCTACGACCCTGGTTCTTCTCAGATAATTAAACCTGAATGAATTGTATTGACATTTGCCTCCTCCGATTATACCATTATCAAGAAAAGAGGTTTAAAAATAGTCTACCCAATAATAGAGTAAGGATGTTAAATATAGCAAACAAATCTATAAAAATCTCTTAAAAGCAAGAGTACATTTTTTATATATTTTGTACTTGAAATGGTATATTAAGTTTTATGCGATGCTACCGAAACTTCTACAAGAGATTATTATTGCCAGACATTTAAGAAAGAGAACAAACGATGTAAGTTTTCTTCTTATATTGGTGTTTAATTCTTCTTTCACCTTGTTTATGCATTACACAGACATTTTTCTAATAAAAATGGTAAATGGAGGAGTGGAGGAGTGGGGGGGGGGGGGGGGGGGGAGGTGGCAAACACTTGGAGTGAGAACTAATTTGAGATTAGGTGCCTATTATACCTTTTATACAAATCAAATAAAAATGACTATGCTAGAAACTTCTAAAAGTTTTAACTTATGACCATAAAAATACAAGAATTTGAAAAAAAACTGAAAAACAGAAGTAAATGTCAAGTAAACTTAAGGCTACTTCCTCAATATTGACATTAACTTACACATCATCAATCATTATGCACTTCATCAAATAAACACCCTAGTTTCAGAAACCTCACCAACGACCACAATACTCAACAAATTGTACCTATCAAAACTTGACAACACAAACCATTTATTGCCTACAGGCAAACATATCAATAATAAACCTGTATTTATTATAACATAATACTATTGTTTGTAAGCAGTGCTATCATATGGTATACTACTACTATATTCCTATTTTTAAAAAAATGATAATTTTAATGTATTTTTTTAATGTTGTTATTATGGACACATTTGTTTAACTCGATATCTCATTACTACTGCCCACAGCCATCAGGTCAGACACAGAGAAATGCGCACCATTGATGAGACCAGCATTGAGCCTAACAGATATAGCCAATAGAAAAAAGTAGGTTGCAAAAACTGGATTGAGGCGTGACCGCGACACGTGACAAAGATGCTTGTCAACACCTTGCGGTTGGTATGACAGTTTGCCGGCCATGTGTCCCCCTTCATTAACTAGGGCATCTGCATACTGGAACATTACAACACCTGTTACCATAACAACTTAGTTTTTCCGATTGGTGTCATTTTTTACCCAGACTCGAAGCTAGGTTTTACAGGCACTATAAAAAACAAATTAGTATCCTGTGTGACAAAACTGTTATTTCAGCTAAACAAAAAGACCTGGTTTGACGCTTTATTTACATTTTGTTGACAAATCAAAAAGCATGCCATATCTTTTCAATGATGTCAATGTGTTTTAGAGAAAGTGATCTTAAGATGATGATGATAATGATGATGATGACATATTTATTTAACAATATTTCATGAGGGGTCTCTTACTTACAGTACAGCTGACTCAAAGAGGCCGTCATACAGTACTGTACATACAAATACGGTAAAAAATGATGATGACGATGATAATGAGCCAATGTGTTATTATTCATGTTATCTACAAGGGGGTACTAAATACCATCATACTCATTAATCCTAAATATTGTCATAATATTTGTTTTGTGGCTTCAACAAATATATTTACCATTATCAGACTAATTTCTAGATATTTAAAAACATCATAAAATTGGATTACGAAGTATGATGCGCTACATAATGCTACCATTAAACCTGCATTGTCCCATGAAAAATTCATAAAAATCATTAATTTGCTCATTTTGAAGTAACACAAACATTATCAACTTGAATATAGAAATTAGTGTATTTAAAATGTTTACCAATATTTACAGAAACACTTCCAGTCACTAGAAGTTTTATTATTTTTATTATCATTATCTAGTTTAAAAATCAAGGTACACATTTTTAAAAATTCAATACTTTCTATGCACAAGTTAATACTGTGTATTACAGCAAAATGTGCAAGTTAATTTTATAGTAAAAATATATTTATAGCCCTTTCGCATCTGTTGAAAGGGCATCTAGTAAGTGATTAAATTATTATCATTATTATTATTGTTAAGAAAAAGAGTATAAGTTACCTTAGTTGTAGTTTTAGTTTCTTTTTCTTATTATCATGACAGAGTTAGAGAATAACTAGTTCCATGCGATTATTATTATTATTATTATTATTATTAACACAGTGCAATGATTTCTGACAATGAATATCCATACACAACTACCTGTATCTGAGGCAAGGAAAGGGTGATATAATATGTAATTTTGAGGGCCCCCCCCCCAAATTATTTTTATACATAAAAAACCTACATTTTTTCGAAAATTTAGAAGGACCTTTTTTCCAACTTGAGTGATGTTAAAAAAGGTCCCTTTTCAAGCTTTAATTAATAAATTGGTTTTAACTTTGTGGTCAGTAATTCACCAGCCACAATGCATGGGGTCAATGATGATTGGCAATGAACCCTAGAATTAAATCTAGGCTTCTTGTTAAAAAAAAAAAAAAAAAAAAAAATATGACTAACCAACTAACCCGATTTTAAAATATCACTGTGGTTGTCCTAAATTTTATTTTACAACTAT